CTTAAATATCCGCACCCAATGGTCAAATTAAAATTATACTGTGTTGCGTATATAACTGGCTTAATTGTTTTGAGCCAGTTGTATACACTGAAAACAATTATAAACGCAACACTTTTTGCCCCCATTTTTCATGAGCTGAACTCAAAGATCTGAGACTTTTTCTATGTACACAAAAGGCCATTTCTCTCAAATATTGTTCAAAAATATGTGTTAGTGAGCACTTCTTCTTTGCCGAGATAATCCATCCACCTCACAGGTGTGTTTTAGGCTGGCCACAATAAAAGGCCGCTCTATAATGTGCAGTTTTATCACACAGCACAATGCCTCAGATGTCGAAGTTTTGAGGGAGCGTGCGATTGGCATGCCGACTGCAGGAATGTCCACCAGAGCTGTTGCCCATGAATTGAATGTTAATTTCTCTACCATTAGCCGTTTCCAAAGGTGTTTCAGAGAATTTTCCAGCACATCCAACCGGCCTCACAACCGCACACCACGTGTAACCACATCAGCCCAGGACCTCCACATCCAGCCTCTTCTCCTACAAGACTGAGACCAGCCAACCGGACTGCTGCTGCAACAACCGGTTTGCATAGCTGTCAGAAAGTGTCTCAGGGAAGCTCATCCGCATGCTCGTCCTCCTCATCGGGGTCTCGGCTGGACTGCAGTTCATCCTTGTAACCGACTTGAGTGGGCTAATTCTCACATTCGATGCCGTCTGGCACTTTAGAGAGCTGTTCTCTCCACGGATGAATCCCGGTTTTCACTGTACAGGACAGATGGCAGACACCGTGTATGCCGTCGTGTGGATGAGCGGTTTGCTGATGTCAACGTTGTGGATCGAGTGGCCCATGGTGGCGGGAGGGTTATGGAATGGGCAGGCGTATGTTATGGACAATGAACACAGGTGCATTTTATTGATGGCATTTTGAATGCACAGAGAGACCGTGACGAGATCCTGAGGCCCATTGTTGTGTCATGTTGCAGCATGTTAACATCCCAGTTCTTGCATGGCCAGCATACTCACCGGATATGTGACCCATTGAGCATGTTTGGGATGCTCTGGATCGGCGTTTAAGACGGTGTGTAGTTTCCAGTTCTGCCAATATCCAGCAAAATGGACCAACACTGGACCAACATTACACACTCCACAATCAACAACCTGATCAACTCTATGCGAAAGAGATGTGTTGCACTGCGTGAGGCAAATGGTGGTCACACCAGAGACTGACTGAGGGTTTTTTGACCCCCCAATACAGTAGAACTGCACATTTTAATGTGGCCAGCCTGAGGCACACCTGTGCAATAATCACAGTCTAATAGTCTAATCAGCATCTTGATACGCCACACCTGTGAGGTGGATGGATTATCTCGGCAAAGGAGAAGTGCTCACTAACACTGATTTAGACGATATGTGAACAATATTTGAGAGAAATGGCCTTTTGTGTACATAGAAAAAGTCTTAAATCTTTGAGTTCAGCTCATGAAAAATGGGGGCAAAAACAAATGTGTTGCGTTTATAATTGTTCAGTGTGTGTGTGTGTGTATATATATATAATGCTATAGTGTTTCAGTAGGTAATATCAGATTACATTTCTTAACATTTCTTTTGTCATTAATTGTAATAATCAGTCAATAATCAGTTATCAATAATCAGATATTTGCACTATAGTGTGCACCTTTTCTAGAAGAACATTAATGGAGTCAGTGTTGCACCAACATTGTAATTCTGGCCGATACCAATACGTTGATGATGTTCATGTTGGTCTAAAACTTTAAAAGCATCTGTTTAACACAACATTTCATCTGAATGTCATTTGAAATGTATTTTTTAGATATCAGATGTAAAACCAGTTTTAAGCTCTAGATACAGGTTTGAGTTACATCTGAGTTTCTGATCAGTATATAACTGATTTCTTCCAGGTGTTCAGAAGATGCCCATCGAGAAAACCACTGACGTGCCTCAAGGTACCCGAGGTTTAAATTAGAATATGACCATCTAGTAAGCTTTATCTATGAGAGCTCATGTACTTACAAAGCATGTTGTATTCTGTACAGAGAATGAGAGTGAGGAAGAAATTGAAAACCTTGTGGAAAGGACAAAAGTGTGCTGGTCAAATGCTGAAGTTACAGCTGCAATTAAACATGTTAAGGCACATATAACCAAAGGAAAACTGGCCACACTGACTGAATGGCAGAAGTGTAAGACCACTGAAGACCCTTTCCGTGGAGTTTCAATCTCTACCTCACTCTCATTCTCAGCGCAGGAGAATACATGCTTTAGTAAGCTCTAAACACACGGGAGCTCATGTACTTACAATGATAGTTATATTGACACTAGACGCTTCTAGAGCTGATGTACAACCCAAGCAAACTTTGTTAAATAATTTTCCTGTAAATCTGCTTTGAAACTTGACTTGACAATTCTGTTTATATTTTCTGGAAATAACAGAGGTAAACCGTCCGTTGTAATTTGTTTTGTTTTGCAAATGTATATATCGCGATATGCATATCGCGACGGCTTGCAATAGCTGGGGTCATGAACAAAAGAAAATCACTCACTGCTGTTTGCTGAATAACTGTATATATGTAAATAATACAGTGAAAACTAAGCAGTGTTTTATTTTTACATTTGATTATTCAGTTTCTGTTGTTAAATAATCCTAATGTAGGATAATCTGAACCCTGTGCTTTAGCATAAGAAGTATTATTTTAATATCAGTGTACAGTAAAACACTGATGTTCACTTTCAGAAGCTGATGTTTTCTTGTCACAAAAAGAATGTGAAACATTTATGTAAGGTTAAATAATAGATAATTTTAAGTTTGTTTTACACACTTTAAACATTACTCTATCGAATATCGCAGTATTTAATGAGTTAACGCATATCGCTTTTTTCTTCAGTACTGTGCAGCACTAAGCAGCATCTATTGTATGTTGAGTGAGTTAATTTTATACATTTCAAAGCCTGTTTAATGACATCTTTAAAATGTGTCTGCTTCAAAGGGCTGTTTTGTCAATCATTGACCATGTTTTTAAGTTTGTGGATGTGACTTTACACTTAAAATGGCATGACATGATGGAATTACATGGTAAAACTGAAAAAAACTCAATGTTTATGATGATATTATTGAAGTCATAATTAAAGCACTTGTAAAACACTTCTGTCCCTGTAATGTTGCAAGTTTTTTTGTGTATTGTATTGGAGATCCAGTACTCTTAAATCACTTAGTCTTGGTAATACACCATCTCGTCAGGTTTTGTGTGTGTGTGTGGGCATGTACCAGTAAAACACACTCGTCCTTATAATGTTGGATTGTGCAGTTGTGTATTGTGTTTAAGATCCAGTACTCTTAAATCACCTTAGTCTTGGTAATACACCCTCTCGTCAGGTTTGTGTGTGTGTGTGGGCATGTACCAGTAAAACACATAGGTCCTGTAATCCACCGAAATGACATATTTTGTGTATTGTAAAATGAGTGTCCCTCATAATCAGTCGGGCCCATAAATCACAATTAATGTCATAGGCGGGACATTTTAGGAGGGGGC